GAGGGCGATGGGAGACCAGGAGGGTGATGGGAGACCAGGAGGGTGATGGGACGTGAAGGTGATGGGAGACCAGGAGGGCGATGGGAGACCAGGAGGGTGATGGGAGACCAGGAGGGTGATGGGAGACCAGGAGGGCGATGGGACGTGAAGGTGATGGGAGACCAGGAGGGTGATGGGAGACCAGGAGGGTGATGGGACGTGAAGGTGATGGGAGACCAGGAGAGTGATGGGACGTGAAGGTGATGGGAGACCAGGAGGGTGATGGGAGACCAGGAGGGTGATGGGACGTGAAGGTGATGGGAGACCAGGAGGGCGATGGGATATGAAGGTGATGGGAGACCAGGAGGGTGATGGGACGTGAAGGTGATGGGAGACCAGGAGGGTGATGGGAGACTAGGAGGGTGATGGGAGACCAGGAGGGTGATGGGACGTGAAGGTGATGGGAGACCAGGAGAGTGATGGGACGTGAAGGTGATGGGAGACCAGGAGGGTGATGGGAGACCAGGAGGGTGATGGGAGACCAGGAGGGTGATGGGACGTGAAGGTGATGGGAGACCAGGAGGGTGATGGGAGACCAGGAGGGTGATGGGACGTGAAGGTGATGGGAGACCAGGAGAGTGATGGGACGTGAAGGTGATGGGAGATGAGGAGAGTGATGGGAGACCAGGAGGGCGATGGGATGAATGGGGTGACGAGGTTAGTGACTCCCCCCCCCACCCCCCGTTAGCGATATTCATGTCACCTCCATGCATCCTATCCGACACCAATTGAGTACTTGGAGGGGCGTAGATTTCTCACGGACCCCGCGTCTCTTCTTGAATCGTCGCCGCACACTCAGTCAACCTGTGGACTAGGCGGGAGGTGCGCCCTGCCCTGCCCCCCCCCCCCCCCCCCAAAGCGCAGCGCCCAGGGCAGCCGCTCCGATTCGCCGTCTACCCTATAGGGGACGGCTCTGCCTAGGGGTTTAGATCCCAGTTCATGGTGATGATGATGCACGTTGTCCTGCCTGCCCGATGGGGAGATCGAGCATCTCGAATGCCGCCCTCGAACGCAAAACTGTCTAAACTTTTAAACAATTTTTTTTTCCTTACAAGTTTTATCACGTAAGGCTCACTGAGCTATCGCATACATTTTCCAGAAGCGACCTTCTTCCGATATAATGAATCCCACCGGAGCAATGCACTTTTTAAATAATTTTGATGGACGAACTCGTTACTTTAGAGCTGCTTTTCGCGTTTCAGTTCGTGGTCACCTTCCCCCGCGCCTCCGATTGGCGCGGTTGGCTACGTACGGTGCGAACGAAGTTCAACGCACGTACCAAATGATATTCGCTTTTGTTTATTGTACCAGGTAAGGGTCTGCTGAGCTCCTTTTCAAAAGCGACCTTGGATGTCACAAAGTATAGCCCCACGAAGTGGCTTATCACGTGGCAATTTATAGCAGCCAAATAGTCTAAAGGCGTGATGCTGAGTCTGAATGTGGAGGGGAAACCCGGAGGACCCGGGAAAGAGAGAGGGAGAGAGACACGCAAACTCCAAATGCACAGCAGGCATCAGGGGTCGGAATCGAACCCACGTTCTCCTGCACACCAGGCGAGGTAATTAACATCTCCTAGTCACCGTGATGATGATGAGAGACACGCAAACTCCAAATATACAGCAGCAGGCGCCAGGGTCGGGATCGAACCCACGACCTCCTGCACACCAGGCGAGGTAGTTAACATCTCCTAGTCACCGTGATGATGATGAGAGACACGCAAACTCCAAATATACAGCAGCAGGCGTCAGGGTCGGGATCGAACCCACGACCTCCTGCACACCAGGCGAGGTAGTTAACATCTCCTAGTCACCGTGATGATGATGAGAGACACGCAAACTCCAAATATACAGCAGCAGGCGTCAAGGTCGGGATCGAACCCACGACCTCCTGCACTTCAGGCGAGGTGGTTAACATCTCCTAGCCACTGCTTTGGCCACTACGATGTGCGGCGACTCCGGCCCACAGAGTTCCCTCCCTGCCCAGCCGTGGGCGTGGGAGCACGGGACGGTAACGAGGAGGTAACGAGGAGATAACGAGGAGATAACGAGGAGGTAACGAGGAGGTAACGAGGAGATAACGAGGAGGTAACGAGGAGATAACGAGGAGATAACGAGGAGATAACGAGGAGGTAACGAGGAGATAAGGAGGAGGTAACGAGGACTGTATAAATGCTGACGCTCTGCCACGTGTGTCCGCACCTTCACTCCAGATGCGACACGGGGCCAGAAAAAAACCGTCGCCTGCTGTGTCGCCTGCTGTGTCACTTCCTGTGTCACCTGCTGTGTCGCCTGCTGTGTCGCCTGCTGTGTCACTTCCTGTGTCACCTGCTGTGTCGCCTGCTGTGTCACCTGCTGTGTCACCTGCTGTGTCACCTGCTGTGTCACTTCCTGTGTCACCTGCTGTGTCGCCTGCTGTGTCGCCTGCTGTGTCGCCTGCTGTGTCACCTGCTGTGTCGCCTGCTGTGTCGCCTGCTGTGTCACGTCCTGTGTCGCCTGCTGTGTCACCTGCTGTGTCACCTGCTGTGTCACCAGCTGTGTCACCTGCTGTGTCGCCTGCTGTGTCACCTGCTGTGTCACCTGCTGTGTCACCTGCTGTGTCGCCTGCTGCGTCACCTGCTGTGTCACCTGCTGTGTCGCCTGCTGTGTCACCTGCTGTGTCACCTGCTGTGTCACCTGCTGTGTCGCCTGCTGTGTCGCCTGCTGTGTCGCCTGCTGTGTCACCTGCTGTGTCACCTGCTGTGTCGCCTGCTGTGTCGCCTGCTGTGTCGCCTGCTGTGTCACCTGCTGTGTCGCCTGCTGTGTCGCCTGCTGTGTCACCTGCTGTGTCGCCTGCTGTGTCACCTGCTGTGTCGCCTGCTGTGTCACCTGCTGTGTCACCTGCTGTGTCGCCTGCTGTGTCGCCTGCTGTGTCACCTGCTGTGTCACCTGCTGTGTCGCCTGCTGTGTCGCCTGCTGTGTCGCCTGCTGTGTCACCTGCTGTGTCGCCTGCTGTGTCGCCTGCTGTGTCGCCTGCTGTGTCGCCTGCTGTGTCACTTGCTGTGTCACCTGCTGTGTCACCTGCTGTGTCACATCCCCTGTCACCTGCTGTGTCACCTGCTGTGTCACCTGCTGTGCCACCTGCTGTGTCACATCCCCTGTCACCTGCGGTGTCACCTGCTGTGTCACCTGCTGTGCCACCTGCTGTGTCACCTGCTGTGTCACTTCCTGTGTCACCTGCTGTGTCACCTGCTGTGTCACTTCCTGTGTCACTTGCTGTGTCACCTGCTGTGTCACCTGCTGTGTCACATTCTCTGTCACCTGCTGTGTCACTTCCTGTGTCACTTCCTGTGTCACCTGCTGTGTCACCTGCTGTGCCACCTGCTGTGTCACCTGCTGTGTCACTTCCTGTGTCACTTGCTGTATCACCTGCTGTGCCATTTGCTGTGTCACCTGCTGTGTCACTTCCTGTGTCACCTGCTGTGCCACCTGCTGTGTCACATCCTGTGTCACCTGCTGTGTCACCTGCTGTCACCTGCTGTGCCACCTGCTGTGTCACCTGCTGTGTCATTTCCTTTGTCACTTCCTGTGTCACCTGCTGTGTCACTTGCTGTGTCACCTGCTGTGCCACCTGCTGTGTCACCTGCTGTGTCACTTCCTGTGTCACTTGCTGTGCCACCTGCTGTGTCACCTGCTGTGTCACTTGCTGTGTCACCTGCTGTGTCACCTGCTGTCTCACCTGCTGTGTCACCTGCTGTGTCACTTCCTGTGTCACCTGCTGTCACCTGCTGTGTCACTTCCTGTGTCACCTGCTGTGTCACCTGCTGCGTCACTTCCTGTGTCACCTGCTGTGTCACCTGCTGTGTCACCTGCTGTGCCACCTGCTGTGTCACCTGCTGTGTGGCACCAGGCGGCCAGTCGCCCCCCTGTCACTCTCCTATCGCTCCTAGCGTGGTGTTCTGACACCAATGTGGACGCGTGGTCGTAAGAGGCGCGAGACTGCGGAACATTGCGCACAGCGGGGTCCGTGCGTCTACGGGGGGGGGGGGATGGAGGGACCGGCGGAGAGAGGGGAGGGAGGGAGGGGAGGGGTGAGTGGAAGAGAAGGAGAGGAGGGGGGCGGAGGGAGATGAGGTTGGGAGGGAGAGAGGGAGGGATGGGGGAGCGATGTGGAGAGGCGGCGGTGGTGGAGGTGGTGGGGGGTGCAATGAAGAGGGCGAGGCGCGGGGAGGTGCCGCTGGGCTAAGAGCCTCGTGTTTGTGTCTCAGTCAACCTCCTCGTGGGGCGCGGGGAGAGACAAGCGGGGGTGGGGGGTGTACGGGGGGGTAGGGGGGGGGGAATGGCCTCGGGGCGAGCGGAGCCAACCGGAGAGCTCCCGGGGCGGGCGGCTCGGGGCCTCCGCGTGCGCTCCATAAACGCGGCGCGCAGCCCCGAGGGTTCCCCACCCCGGCAGCGCCGCTCAGCTCTCAACCCGGCCGCTCCCGCGGCTCGCGCGGCTCCCACGCCCCAGCGGCGCGACTCGACCCCCCCCCATCCCAGCTCCACCGGCCCAGCTCGGCCAGCAGCAGCAGAGGAGTAAGGAGAAGTTGTCGGTTCCTCGGGCGGCAGCTGCTGCGTCTCCTACTCCGCCCCCGTCTTGCGCGGATTCATCCCGGGAGGACCCCCATCGGGGGGGGGGGAGATCCACGGAGAAGAATCGTGCGAGAGACCGCGGGAGAGACCCCCCCCCCCCCATCACCACCACCACCCACTCCCCGTGGGGACACCTACGGGGAGACCCAGGGAGACAGCGGGAGAGACCCCGGGCGGAGAGACCCCGGGCGCGGAGAGACCCTGGGCGCGGAGAGACCCCGGGCGCGGAGAGACCCCGGGCGCGGAGAGACCCCGGGCGCGGAGAGACCCCGGGCGCGGAGAGACCCCGGCCGGGAGAGACCCCGGGCGGAGAGACCCCGGGCGCGGAGAGACCCCGGGCGGAGAGACCCCGGCCGGGAGAGACCCCGGGCGGAGAGACCCCGGGCGCGGAGAGACCCCGGCCGGGAGAGACCCCGGGCGCAGAGAGACCCCGGGCGTGGAGAGACCCCGGCCGGGAAAGACCCCGGGCGGAGAGACCCCGGGCGCGGAGAGACCCCGGCCGGGAAAGACCCCGGGCGCGGAGAGACCCCGGGCGGGAGCACGAGAATCCCGCGCCCATGACTCGCGCGCGGATCCGCGTCTCGGAACGGAAGCTCGCAAACCCTCGCAGAGTTTAGTGCGGAGAGAGGCGAACGTAGCGGAGAGCGGCGAGTGGGGGTGTTGAGACGCGGCTTGCGAGAGAGGAGAGAGCGGCGAGAGGAGCGCAACGCGGAGTAGCCAAGCGAGGCTGCCGGGACACGCGAATGGCGTTCCCGGGTCTGGGATGCGCCCCGATGCTCCGAGGCGTCGAGCGAGGAGGCCCTCGCCTCGACCCCGCGGGGAGCCCGCCCTGCGGTGGCGGTGGACATGGGGGGGCCACCTCGGGACCCCTTCTGGGGGCTACCGCCGCCTCCCTCCTGGGACTATACGCCAGTCCCTACGGGGGTGGCCAGGCGCTGTGTGGATACCTCCCCTACGCCGGCGAGCTGCACGGATTCTTCCCTCATCTGGTGAGTAGCTCACTCCAGCCCTGGGGTCGCGGGGTCTCACTCACGGCCAGCGAGGGGGGTGGGGTGGCTAGGGGGTAGGAGAGGGTCTACTTTGTGAGACACTTTGTGAGACTTCCCTCTCTCTTCTCGCTCTCGAAGCTCTGCCGGGCTTAGATGCTGGGCGCATCAATGTGAGGTTTAGCTTGCGATCATCGGCTGACTCGCCTTGCATCATGCCTCGTCTGGTTTGGTTGGTCACTTGGTGAGTCTCTGTGTGTGTGTCTCTGTGTGTGTGTCTGTCTCTCTCTCTCTGTCTGTCTCTGTGTGTGTGTCTGTCTCTGTGTGTGTCTGTCTCTGTGTGTGTCTGCCTCTGTGTGTGTGTCTGTCTCTGTGTGTGTCTGTCTGTGTGTGTATGTGTCTCTGTGTGTGTGTGTGTCTATCTCTGTGTGTGTGTCTCTGTGTGTGTGTGTCTCTGTGTGTGTCTCTCTGTATGTGTGTCTCTGTGTGTGTGTCTCTGTGTGTGTGTGTCTCTTTGTGTGTCTGCCTCTGTGTGTGTGCGTCTGTGTGTGTGTGTGTGTCTCTGTGTGTCTGTCTCTGTGTGTGTCTGTCTCTGTGTGTCTGTCTCTGTGTGTGTCTGTCTCTGTGTGTGTCTGTCTCTGTGTGTCTGTCTCTGTGTGTGTCTGTCTCTGTGTGTGTGTCTCTGTGTGTGTGTGTCTGTCTCTGTGTGTGTCTCTCTGTGTGTGTGTGTCTGTGTGTGTCTCTGTCTGTGTGTCTCTGTGTGTGTGTGTCTCTGTGTGTGTGTCTCTGAGTGTGTGTGTCTGTGTGTGTGTGTCGCTCTGTGTGTGTGTCTCTCTGTGTGTCTGTCTCTGTGTGTGTGTGTCTCTGTGTGTGTGTCGCTCTGTGTGTGTGTCTCTCTCTGTGTGTCTGTCTCTGTGTGTGTGTCTCTGTGTGTGTGTCGCTCTGTGTGTGTATCTCTCTGTGTGTCTGTCTGTGTGTGTGTGTCTCTGTGTGTGTGTGTCTCTCTCTGTGTGTGTCTCTCTCTGTGTGTGTGTGTGTCTGTCTCTCTGTGTGTGTGTGTCTGTCTCTCTCTCTGTCTCTGTGTGTGTGTGTCTGTGTGTGTGTGTCTGTCTGTGTGTGTGTCTGTCTCTGTGTGTGTGTCTGTCTCTGTGTGTGTCTCTCTCTGTGTGTGTATCTCTGTGTGTGTCTCTCTGTGTGTGTGTCTCTGTGTGTATGTGTCTCTCTGTGTGTCTGTCTCTGTGTGTGTGTGTCTCTGTGTGTGTGTCGCTCTGTGTGTGTCTCTCTCTCTGTATGTCTGTCTCTCTGTGTGTGTGTCTGTCTGTGTGTGTGTCTGTCTGTCTCTGTGTGTGTGTCTCTGTGTGTGTGTGTCTCTCTGTACGTGTCTCTCTCTGTGTGTGTCTGTCTCTGTGTGTGTGTGTGTCTGTTTCTGTGTGTGTGTCTCTGTGTGTGTGTCTCTGTGTGTGTGTCTCTCTGTGTGTGTCTCTCTCTGTGTGTCTGTCTCTCTGTGTGTGGCTCTCTCTGTGTGTGTCTCTCTGCGTGTGTCTCTCTGTATGTCTCTGTGTGTGTGTCTGTCTCTCGGAGCTGGATGTACATATCTATGGGCGCTATTTTTGGCAGCATCAAGGCGTCTAGAACATAAGCAAACTCTTTAGCCACACGTGGGTGTGATTAATGCAAAGTTGTTGGTGGCTTGCATGCAATAGGCATCTATTTGGTCTTTAAACATCTATAAAACACCTGTTTTATTGCCAGCAAGGGTCGAGCCTATTATAACTTTTTTTTTCATATGTATGTATTCAAAATAAAGGTTTGTTTGGGCTAGATCGCGTGCATATAAATGCGTCCACTGACAATTGTTTTGGGTATGCATTGTGTGAGGGTTTAATTTGTTTCAGCATCTTGCACACCGGCGTGCATGCGTGTGTGTGTGTCCGTCTGTCTCTCGCACACCGGTGTGCATGCTGGAGTAGTAAACTCATCGCCACGTTGTGTTGACGTGACAAACCCCCTCCTAATGGTCGGATGCTTGCGGGTTACACGACACAATCATATTGACGCGATCTAAAACACCCACCCCCACGCCATCCTCTCCCCAAAAAAAAAACAACCTTCAAGATGAATAATATTGGTCAGCGAAAGCCGACTGCGTGTTAATGTGAATGTGTGTTGAACTTCTTACGCACCGTACGTAGCCAACCGTGCTCGAATGTGGCATGGGCGAGCGGCCGGCTGAGATTCCTGGCGGATCGGTGACTCACGAACCACCATGCATCATGGCTCACCTTGCATCATGGCTCACCTTGCATCACGGCTCACCATGCATCATGGCTCAGCTTGCACCATGGCTCACCTTGCATCATGGCTCACCTTGCATCACGGCTCACCTTGCATCATGGCTCACCTTGCATCATGTCTCACCTTGCATCATGTCTCACCTTGCATCATGTCTCACCTTGCATCATGGCTCACCTTGCATCATGGCTCACCTTGCATCATGGCTCACCTTGCATCATGGCTCACCTTGCATCACGAACCACCTTGCATCACGGCTCACCATGCATCATGGCTCACCATGCATCATGGCTCACCTTGCACTATGGCTCACCTTGCATCATGGCTCACCTTGCATCATGGCTCACCTTGCATCATGGCTCACCTTGCATCACGAACCACCTTGCATCACGGCTCACCATGCATCATGGCTCACCATGCATCATGTCTCACCTTGCATCATGGCTCACCATGCATCATGGCTCACCTTGCATCATGGCTCACCTTGCATCACGAACCACCTTGCATCACGGCTCACCTTGCATCATGGCTCACCTTGCATCATGGCTCACCTTGCACCATGGCTCACCATGCATCATGGCTCACCTTGCACTATGGCTCACCTTACATCACGAACCACCATGCACCATGGCTCACCATGCATCATGGCTCACCATGCATCATGGCTCACCTTGCACCATGGCTCACCTTGCATCATGGCTCACCATGCATCACGAACCACCATGCATCATGGCTCACCATGCATCATGGCTCAGCTTGCATCATGGCTCACCTTGCATCATGGCTCACCATGCATCATGGCTCACCTTGCATCATGGCTCACCATGCATCATGGCTCACCATGCACCATGGCTCACCTTGCACCACGGCTCACCTTGCACCATGGCTCACCTTGCACCATGGCTCACCTTGCACCATGGCTCACCTTGCATCATGGCTCACCTTGGATCATGGCTCACCTTGGGTCCGTTTGATTGGTCACTTGGTGAGTCGCTGACTTAGAGAGTTCCTTGCCTGGTGAGTCACTGACTTAGAGAGTTCCTTACTTGGTGAGTCGCTGACTTAGAGAGTTTCTTGCTTGGTGAGTCGCTGAGTTAGAGAATTCCTTGCCTGGCGAGTCGCTGAATTAGAGAGTTCGGTACCTTGTGAGTCGCTGAGTTAGAGAGTTCCTTACCTTGTGAGTCGCTGACTTAGAGAGTTTCTTACTTGGTGAGTCGCTGACTTAGAGAGTTCCTTGCTTGGTGAGTCGCTGACTTAGAGAGTTCCTTACCTAGTGAGTCGCTGACTTAGAGAGTTCCTTGCCTGGTGAGTCGCTGAATTAGAGAGTTCCTTACCTAGTGAGTCACTGACTTATAGAGTTCCTTACCTGGTGAGTCGCTGACTTAGTGAGTTACGTACCTTGTGAGTCGCTGACTTAGAGAATTCCTTACCTGGTGAGTCGCTGACTTAGAGAGTTCCTTACTTGGTGAGTGACTGACTTAGAGAGTTCCTTACCTGGTGAGTCACTGACTTAGAGAGTTCCTTACTTGGTGAGTGACTGACTTAGAGAGTTCCTTACCTAGTGAATCACTGACTTAGAGAGTTCCTTACCTGGTGAGTCGCTGACTTAGAGAGTTCCTTGCTTGGTGAGTCACTCACTTAGAGAGTTCCTTACTTGGTGAGTGACTGACTTAGAGAGTTCCTTACCTGGTGAGTCACTGACTTAGAGAGTTCCTTACCTGGTGAGTCACTGACTTAGAGAGTTCCTTACCTGGTGAGTCACTGACTTAGAGAGTTCCTTACCTGGTGAGTCACTCACTTAGAGAGTTCCTTACCTGGTGAGTGACTGACTTAGAGAGTTCCTTACCTGGTGAGTGACTGACTTAGAGAGTTCCTTACCTGGTGAGTCACTGACTTAGAGAGTTCCTTGTTTGGTGAGTCACTGACTTAGAGAGTTACTTGCCTGGTGAGTCGCTGACTTAGAGAGTTCCTTACTTGCTGAGTCACTGACTTAGAGAGTTCCTTGCCTGGTGAGTCGCTGACTTAGAGAGTTCCTTACTTGCTGAGTCACTGACTTAGAGAGTTCCTTGCCTGGTGAGTCGCTGACTTAGAGAGTTCCTTACTTGCTGAGTCACTGACTTAGAGAGTTACTTGCCTGGTGAGTCGCTGACTTAGAGAGTTCCTTACTTGCTGAGTCACTGACTTAGAGAGTTCCTTGCCTGGTGAGTCGCTGACTTAGAGAGTTCCTTACTTGCTGAGTCACTGACTTAGAGAGTTCCTTGCCTGGTGAGTCGCTGACTTAGAGAGTTCCTTACTTGCTGAGTCACTGACTTAGAGAGTTCCTTACCTGGTGAGTCGCTGACTTAGAGAGTTCCTTACCTGGTGGGTCACTGACTTAGAGAGTTCCTTACCTGGTGGGTCACTGACTTAGAGAGTTCCTTACCTTGTGAGTCGCTGACTTAGAGAGTTCCTTGCTTGGTGAGTCGCTGACTTAGAGAGTTCCTTACCTGGTGAGTCACTGACTTAGAGAGTCCCTTACTTGGTGAGTGACTGACTTAGAGAGTTCCTTACCTGGTGAGTCGCTGACTTAGAGAGTTCTTTACCTGGTGAATCGCTGACTTAGAGAGTTCCTTGCTTGGTGAGTCGCTGACTTAGAGAGTTTTTTGCTTGACGAGTCACTGACTTAGAGAGTTCCTTACCTGGTGGGTCACTGACTTAGAGAGTTCCTTACC